CGCCGCCTTCCTCCGCGACCCTTTCACTACTAAAAATCTGCATATTCGTATTAAACTACTATAAAATAGTACGACATTTAATAGTTATTAATCCTGATTAATACTTTTAGTAAGTACTACAGATTTAATATAGAGATTGCATGCTTTTAACATAATTATTAACTAAATGTTATTAATTCTTCTCCCATTTTCGAAAATTCCAGAATTTATTCTAAATGTAATATCGCCGTCTTCCTCCGCGACCCTTTCACTTTTAAAAATCCGCATATAAAATAGTACGACATTTGATTGCTAATAACTCTGATTAACTCTTTTAGTGAATACTACAAATTTAATATAGAGTTTGTATACTTTTAACGTAACTATTAACTAAATTTTATTAAAATTTATTAGATGCCACTCCGACAGTTCCCTTGTAAGTTCAGTGATTTATCTACTTATAATTTGATAATTATCATATCAACTTCAACCTAATTTACAAATACAAAAAACAGTCTGCAAAAAATAAATGAAGATATTCGGTGTTCCGTATAGCATTTACATACCTTAAAATTACGTTTTAATATTTTATAACCCATTGCGTATAATCTTATTTATTAAATATTTAATTTCGGCTGCATTTCTCAATAAGTACATGAAAAAAAGTAATAAAAGTAATTTTAGAGATATAAATTTTCTAATCTAAACCTACGCGAACGAGATGTGATAAATACACCAGATCACACAGGAAATTAATTAATGGGATCAGTCACCTGACGTGAATACCTTGAACTCGTCCGTACGAGCTTTGTATGCTTATTATAGATTTTCTATTTTAATATCAAACAAACATTTTCTATCTTTATAATTGTTTTATATTAATTTCATTATAAATGAATATTTTACAGAAAAGTTTTTATTTTTATAATAAATAAATAAATAAGTTATGAGCAATAAAAAACAGCATGTGTGACAAATAAAAATACATCAGACAGAATCATTCATAAATGATTCTGTCTGATGAATGAATAATTAAAGATGCTGCTTTTTGTTATTTACTTATTATTTTCTTATTATATTAAATTTTTTGTTTATATTTTTCTAACTGTACAGAAAAATAACATTTTTCCTTAACCACTTCGTATATAAATAAATTACGTTTTTCATACTAACTGGCAAAATTTAATTATAGGTATTGTAGAATTTAAATTTTCCTAGTAAGATATTAGAACACGCGCTTCTGTCACCTGATAAGATAATTATAAATACCCACCCAACATAGAAAACTGTTACAAGAATAAAGAAAATCGAATAATATGAAGCTCGCGCTGAAGTTATTCCTACTTATCGTTACTTTTTCTGCAATTATTTGCTGGCAAGATTCCAGTGTTAGACCCGCGGATCCATTTTCGCAGATGGTACAGGACATCGGACGTTACTGTGGTGAGTGTTGGTAACATACGATTAACTTTCGGTAGGTATTCTTATGTGTTAATACTAGGTTAGCATTTTGTTTAAATTTTTAAACGTTTTGATAATATTCGAAAAAATTATGTCTTTAATTATTTTTCTCCGTGTTTCTTTCTTTTTCAAATTAGATTTGAGTGAGGAGGCACAAAGAAACTTTTTCTTTTGCTTGAGCGAAAATACAGCACAATCGGTAAGCTTTTCGAGTTTCGAAAAAGTTTTATGATAAAAGAAATCTTTCTAGCATTAATTTATTCTTGTTTAATATTTAGGAAATTGAATTCTTTAAAAACTGTGCACAACAGCAGAAATTTGTCCAAACAGCTGAAGACACTGCTAAATACATTTGTAAAATCAGACAAACGTCACCTCAAGTAATTTTTCTAAACTGTTTAACGTTATAATAATTATTATTAACTTCTTAACTTATAACATTTTTATGTTGATAGGAATACGGGAAATTTATAAAATGTTTTGCTTCCGCTCTCTACGCTTTCAGTTTTGACAATCCGAGAACCTATCCCACTTACACTGTAAGTATTTAACAGTCGACCCCCCTATAACACCGTTGATTATTCCGTTTTATATGAATTCCATGTTGTACGAGTCACTAAGATTTTACAAATACGTGAGCCGTTCACAGCAGGCACACGTATTCGTAAAATCTAAGTGACTCATACAACATGGAATTCATATAAAACAGAATTATCAACAGTGTTATAGGAAGGTAAATGGTTTTGTTTGTTGTTTTTTATTGTCTTTATGATTTGTTAGAGGTTGCTTTGCCAATCTAGCATTAAATATATTAAAAAACTAATTATCTTGTAATTGGAAAATTATTTAATAAAGTTATAATTAATTATGCTTATAATTCATGATATTTGTCAGCAGTTTAATTCGATATTATCGACGAAACATTGAAAATAGGCCACTGCACTTTTTAAATGTTTTTTTTTTTTACATTATTCGTAAACACATAAAAAATTAATACGGGTAAATGTAAGTCAGTAACGTTAAGCCAAAGAATTTGTTTTTTTAAATTTATATTAATAAATAGATAATAAATATATACAACTGATATGTACTGTACTTAAATGTATATATGAAAGTACTTACGGCTGTTTGAGGTAAAATTTATCAGAATTTTTTAACAACATTTTATTTTAAGCAAACTGATAACAGATATAAAACATAAAATTTTCTTTACATAATTAAAATGAAGATATAATTAATCTTTTTATTATACAACTAGCAGGTAGGACCGGCGTTGATCGGGCAAAGGTAACGGTAGCAAAGATTAAGATTATTATGTTATAGTCAACCTTAGCCGTTTTCACAGAATGCAAGAATTGGGTTACCCGTTTCCACACTAATTAGAGAATTTTTAGATGGGTCGAAAAATATCTTCGATTTTCAGCAAAAACGAAAAAAAAACTGCACTTTATCTTAACAATTATATTGTTACGTAACACTTCCATTGTTGACACGTCCATTGTTAACACTTTCATTGTTACTTAACACTTCTATTGCTGATGGAAGGGTTAAGCGTAATCCTGTCTCTCTCCCCCCCCGGGTGGAATTTCGAAAAATCCATTCTTAATGTGCGTTTTCGTGACGTACTCTGCGTACCAAATTTCAGCTTTCAACTCCTAACTGTTCGGGCTCTGCTCTTATTATTATTATCAACTCGTCTCTATTATATACATAGATATGAATTATTATATTTGTAAACAATTATAATTTACTTATATTTACTTTATTTTATTTTTTCAGCGGTGCTTTGAACAAGTAGAAAAAAGACAACAGAAATCGATTTCTTCACTTTCCTCATTTCATTCTTTACTTCATTAAAAAAAAAATAACAGAAAAATTCACTTGTATAGTTTTAATTAATAAAAAAAATTTTGTGTATAATTTTAAATTTGTATAAATAATTGTATAATCGTTATTTTTATAATATGTAAAAAATTTCTCTATATAAATTTATATTATAAATTTGCATAATAAATTGAATTTTATAATGTGATCTAATGTTTGATGATTGTTAAATATAATTCAAAAAGTTTATCTATTTGTATTCGTAACACACGTCAAGCAGTGTGATAGACAGAAAAAGAAAACAAATACAGTAAAGCCTCGATTATCCGAATCCCTATCAACCGACCCCTCGGTTAACCGACCGTCCTAGTCGGCAAATTTGAAAACGTCCACTATTGATGTGGCGCTACAATATTTGGCTATGTCTTGGCTACTTTAATGTTATTTTTACGTGTTTTAGCTGGCAACACTGGATCGACCATGAAAGGGAGCCAGTGTTTAAACGAGGCTTAACTTTCTAATTTTTAACGATACAATAGCAATGATTATTATTTAAAAAAATTTTGTTAGGCTTAACATAGATGAAAATTCAACGCAAAGTAGGTTAATAGCGATATACTAATATACTAATTACATGGGTATAATAATATACTACACTAATAATGGATTTTTTCATACTTTTCGGTTATCCAACTTTTCAATTATCCGACCAACCCCAGTCCCCAATTGAGTCGGATAATCGAGGCTCTACTGTACTT